GAGCTGAGTGTTCAACAGGCCCCTGGAAATGGTGGTGGGTGAAGCAAAGAACTAAACATAAAAGGACCCTCAGAGTTTGGGGGTCTAACCCCCGGTTTCACAGGCTGGGGATGGACCGCAGAGGGGAGGAGGGACTGGCTGCTCAAGCACTGCCTGTCCCCCTTCCAGAGTTTTCCGCCAGAGTTCTGCTGCTGCACAAAACCACCCCATGAGGAGGGGAAGGGCCCACACAGAGGCAGCGCCAGGCCCGGGCCTCACAGGACGGGCTCAGGTCTCACCGGGACCCGGGCTGGCCCTCGGGCTCAGGAGGCGCTAGAATCCTGGGTGCGGAGCTGACAGCAGACAAAGTCAGGACCAGGTCTGGAAGGGGCCAGACAGGGACCAGGGGCCTGGGGCAGCAGGGGCTGCAGGGGTACCGCCTCCGCACACCTATCTCATCACTTCACGTCCCCTCCTGTCGGGGAAAGGACACCCCTCCGGCAGGTGGCACCGAATCGCAGAACTAACAGGCGCTCAGCTCTCAGGCAAGAGGCTGAAGACGGTCTCCACCCGGTCCGTCTGGTCCCAGGAAGGCAGACCCGGAGCCGGGGGGGCGGGGCCAGGCCGAGAGGATATGAGTCTGGAGGTCCCCCGGGTGGACCACAGTGGGCGTGAAGCTCTGGAACTGCACGGAGGTCTTGTTGCCGTAGAAGAGATACATGCGGCCTGCGGCGACGGGGAGGTGGCCTCCGTCAGCCCCGACTCCACACCTGGGCATGGTGTCCCCGAATCCCCATCCTCACAGCCCCCCACTCCCCCCACATACCCAAGTTCTGCCGGAACTCTGACTTGACTCCAATCTGCAGCAGCTGGTTCTCAAACAGGACCCCGTTGTTCTTACACACGAACCTGGGGGAGCAGGGAGGGGGGCGCCCAGGATGAGAGGGTGCTTGTCCGGGCTCTGCTTCGTGATCCCCGCCTTCCTCACGTCCCTCCTGATCGCCCCCAGACTCACTTATTCAGCAGTTCATCAGCCTCTGGGATGGGCGACCCGAAGTCCTCCGGACCTGGGCTGCAGGGAAAGGAGTGAGATGGGAGGGGCTGGGGGAGGGAGGTGCTGACAGAGGTAAAGGCCTGGAACTGCCTCATGGGAGGAGACAACAGGCCCTGAGAGGGCAGAACCCCGCAGTCCATACACCCATATTCCCCAGAGAACCACAGAGAACCCCACAATCAGTCTGGTGACTGCCTCTCGTGGGAACAGGCCTCTAGCATGTGCGCCTCCCCACCCCCCCATCAGAGGACCCTATTTTCACTCCCTTCCAAGACCTTGACCCTACAGTTAGTTCAACAGGAAGCCTTGCTGAGAGCTCCCGTCCCCTAACCCTCCCTAGGGACACAGTCTGCCCACCAACCCCCTGAGGCCACCCCTTACTCAGCAGCTGGAGCTGGGTCAGCCAGCAAAGCCATGGGGCTCTCGGGAGCAGGCGGCTCCAGCTCGCTGGGCCATCCAATCCCAGAGCAGACAGAGAAGACAGGCGTGGCAGGCAGCCAATCCCAGACAGGCAGCAAAAGGGCCAAAGAGAAAGAAGGAGGCGGGAAGGAGAGAAGGAAGAGCAGGCTGAGACACGGTGACGGGAAAGGACAACGAAGGGAGGCCAGGGGCGGCCGGGAGCCCAGCGTGGCCAGAGGGAGGGAGGAGGCCGGAGAGGCGGCAGCCAGGGGGACAGAGGCACAGGGACAGGGAGGGAGGACGAGTTGGGGGGAGGAGACAGAAGACGGGGAGCCCAGAGCCCGAGGCAGACGGTACCTGAGGAAGGCCTCCTCGGGGGTGGGCCCCAGGCCGGGCTGGGC